CATGAAGTTCATGACGGACACGTGACGTAACAGTACATGATTGGTGGGATTAACTTGTCCCTTCTGCGCATGTGCAGGATTAAAAAATGAGCTTAATATTAAAGCCTGGTCTACAGGTGCATTAAAAGTTGATCCTGGACGCTGTCAACGCGCATGCGCACAAGAGATCTGGATTAAACTCTAATACCGGATTAACTTTTATGGCACGTACAGAAGACTCCCATTGACTTATTTTTTAGGCTTTGGGCGTCTTCTGTAGTATCCCTAACTCTTAATACCATATTTAGTTTAATCCTAATCCACCTAGTCCGTACCGAAGACGACACTCTCCGATGCCAGACGGCGCGACAAGAATGTTCAGTAAAACTGTCGTACTCACTATTCTATCACCACCGTTAACATGTAAACATGTCGGAGAGAAGAGAAATGTCACGCGTGAAATTCGCTCTTTTGGGAGATATCGTTTTATTTTTTTTCTTTTCTTTCTTTCTTTTTGTAATGTCATGTTTTTGGTAATCATATTTAAGAAACTATTTAAGACTTCTCTTAGGTCTCAAAATATATATTATATTTGATGTGTATTTCATGAAACTGAGACTCTTACTAATGTTTTCATAATGCTAATTATCTTGTGCCTTTTTTATCTCTGCACTGCTTTGCCTCCTAGTTGTTTAAAGTTTTCTGTAAATAATAATATAAACTTCTCAGATGCTTCTGAAGACCACCTTTTCCTTCCCTTCATCCTAGACGTACCTACATGATTGAAGACAAGGCATTAAAAAAATATTCATATTATTAATCGGTTCTTTATGCCTTCCAATGTTCCCAAAATTGAAAAGTAAGACTAGCATTATATCAAAGTAAGAAAGTTCGCACCTCTATTTTTACACATTTCTTAAGATAATATGTTTCAAATATGATTTGTTTTGAATCTTAAATGAATGGACTGTCTCTAAATTTCTATCAATTCTTGTGATGTTCTTGATCTGTGATATAGTGATGGTTCTGTCCTCTGTTGTTGTGAAGATCCTGGTCTCACGTTTTTGGGTGTGTGGGAATAGGTTTTACAAATCTAAAGGATGGGAGCTGAGGTATGTTGTCTTTGTATTGCTGAACAGTCTGTAGTATTTTGAAACATGTCTGTGCAATGTTCTCTTCACACATAACTGTTGCAAGTTGTGTAGGGTAGCGTTTGGAGCAAGTCGTGCACCCATACCTGTAAATAAGCAACAAAATCATCCAAAAGATATCTAAACAACATTCACCCTTCATGTCCCTACACATATGTGATATAGAAGACAGTATTAAAAATATTACCTAAAGATTTGCAGTCCGATATAAAATTTACTTGGATAAATAAACCTTGCAATTTGCATTCAGACACTGCATTGTTAAAAGAATTATCTGACAACTGATATTCATTTTTATAGATTGGAGAAAATGTGATTGTTATAGAAAGTTGTAGTCAGTCACTCAAGATGCAGTTTGATCTTCATATGATAATTACGAGGCACAAGTAGGCTTACTTATAAGGGAAACATGATTATTAATTAAATATTCTATTTTTTCATGATAACGATCTTAATATTTATAGTAGTACAGTGGGTAACGAAACTGCTCTGACAACTATAAAACCAATCTTTATTTCAATGACACTCAAGTACAAAAATGACATTCACCAAATAATATCCAACGGGCAATTTCCTGGGACAGCTCTTTGCTGCGTTGAATCGTATTGGAGGGGGAAAACATGTTTTCTTCAGGATACTGCTCAGGAGGTCCATAGACAAGTATGTTTGTTAATTTTGTAGTAAAGTATTTGAGAAAAACTCAGCACATAATTCTTCTCTAAAACACTGGTTCGTAATTGATTTAAAACGTCAACTTGTGTGACCCAGGCCATATAATTTTTGTTTCACCAACCTGGAAATATGAGTTCCATGCCCGCAGCCTCTGAACTTCAGAGATTCCTCGTGGGATTATATTTTTTTTTATATTCAATACCATAAGTTATTTCCTTTATCAACATATTTGATCATTTGTGTAAATATATCCAACTTCATTTTCATAATAAATACTATGAAAATGCTAAGACGATCGATGTTATTGTCGAATATGAATGGCAATTCAAGCGATGGCCCCCATGAAGTTCATGACGGACACGTGACGTAACAGTACATGATTGGTGGGATTAACTTGTCCCTTCTGTGCATGTGCAGGATTAAAAATGAGCTTAATATTAAAGCCTGGTCTAGAGGTGCATTAAAAGTTGATCCTGGACGCTGCCAACGCGCATTCGCACTATAGATCTGGATTAAACTTTAATACTGAATTAACTTTTATGGCACGTACAGAAGACTCCCATTGACTTATTTTTTTAGGCTTTGGGCGTCTTCTGTAGTATCCCTAACTCTTAATACCATATTTAGTTTAATCCTAATCCACCTAGTCCGTACCGAAGACGACACTCTCCGCTGCCAGACGGCGCGACAATAATGTTCAGTAAAACTGTCGTACTCACTATTCTATCACCACCGTTAACATGTAAACATGTCGGAGAGAAGAGAAATGTCACGCGTGAAATTCGCTCTTTTGGGAGATCTCATGTTTTATTTTTCTTTCTTATTGTAATGTCATGTTTTTGGTAATCATATTTAAGAAACTATTTAAGACTTCTCTTAGGTTTCAAAATATCTATTATATTTGATGTGTGTATTTCATGAAACTGAGACTCTTACTAATGTTTTCATAATGCTAATTATCTTGTGCCTTTTTTATCTCTGCACTGCTTTGCCTCCTAGTTGTTTAAAGTTTTCTGTAAATAATAATATAAACTTCTCAGAATGCTTCTGAAGACCACCTTTTCCTTCCCTTATCCAGATGTACCTACAATG